GAAAGGATAATATGACAATATGATAATCTGTCATAATTATCTTTAATACGAAATACAGTCTCTAAGCGCTGTACATAATACCCCGGTTATCGGATTCATTCACGCACAATATATTCCTTCTCCACTCCCTGGGAAGTATTATTACCATAATTATGGTCATCGTGAGGGCATATGGCAATTATCAACACAAAGCCTTTTGTCATCCTATCAGGTCCCCTTTTCTCCTCCTGGGTATGGAGTGGCAAATCGTTAGATTAATACCTTGCCAAAGGACATTTAATATAGAAGAGCAAGATGGAGGAGGGAGGGAGGGGAAGGGCTTAGGGGTTTTCGCATTCATTTACTACTATGTCATGTTCCTCGCATAATGTTATGCATATTAGGACAATTATCGGGGCCCTCTCTAGAACCACTTCTGACGGTGACATCATACGTAGGTGCATTGAACACGAAGGCACAAGGCCACCGTATATAAAGGGTGGAAAGAGGTTGAATCGTCATATTCTACAATGTTTCCCCTTCCCGTTTTTTCACCCACAACCTACGTTAGACATGTTTATGACTATTATTTCCATTTTGTTTATTTATTTATTTATTTATTCATTCATTCATTTATATATTTATTTTGTGTTCTTTATAAAATCAATAATGATGATTATAGTTCGTTGCATAGTAAACGCATAATACCGACTGGTCTCTATGCGTGTTAGAACATCACTGTATTGATGTCACATAAACTTATGATTAGTAACCATTCATGAACATTGTGTTTTCAGCTCTGATTTGAATTAATCCAACGGTGATATTCCTTAAATTCGTTATACATCGTTATACGTTATATTTCAGTAAATGAAAGTGTTTTGCACGAGAGCCTTGTAATACGTAACACAATCAGGCATATATAACATGTAATACAAACAAAACAAATTGATAAATATTAAACTGTTATAATACATAATATATATTTCGATTAAGAAATCCAGCCATCTGATTGGTCGAAATTGGAGTCGTGAATTTAGCCATTCCCGTAAAGAAACGACAAATCGCAAAACCGGTTAGGCCTAATATTCCTAGAGTGAGATCCCTCAAAATTCCGGTTACCATCCAAATAGTTAATTTTTGCTGCGATACCCATTGGTTAACGTGTTAAACTGTTCTTTGAGCGAGCGCGGACACCATACAGTGCTTTTTGTCTGCGATTCCCAACTGATCGAAAACTTCAGTCATTTTTCCAGCAAAGATAAACAGACAGTTTCTCAGCTTTTCCGTGATGTTTTAACCAATCTTTACTCAATAAAAGGATAAGGTAAGAATTCTTGGTAGAATGTTTGTGTTAATTCGGTATATAAAAGATAATATCGACTGCTTTAATATTTAAAGCAAAGCTGTTTCTATACTGGCTCTCGGGGACGTTGCATCCTGCCATGACCCCTCGAGTCGCCACCCGCCCCGGCGCGCCTCGGGGTCATATCAGGATGCAACGTCCCCCTTGAGCCTATATAAACAGCGATGCCTCTCATAGCATACAAGTATTATAATTTTGATCACAAAACACAATTTAGCTACAAATATAATGTTATCAGTACAGCTAAAATACCATAAAAGGATATGTCGTGACCCGTTTTTATTCCTGCCCATCCTTTAAATAATTAGTGCACAATTATGTTAAAATGCAAGTGTCCTGAAATCTTTAGTTTGAAGAAGATAGAGGGCTCAATCACCTTCACTAAACAGGCAACATACGATTAAAAAGTGATATATTCACATCCCTTGTGAATTTGATGTTTTTTGTGTTTTTTGTAACTCAATAATGAAAGGTGGACTGGAGTGGTAGGATTGGGGCTTTTGTTGAATTATTTGTTGTACGCTTTGATGTGTCACTTTCTCAAGTAGCCTAATATAAATCGGGACAAAGCATTTTCCACAGAACTTACGTGGTAAGGGTATGAACAATTTAGTTATTACCTGTAAATTATGAATAGTAATCATAAATCTATTGATATCCTCGTTGTTAATATTAGTTATGGCATCTTTGAAGCATTCAGCATGCATATTCTGAGATGTATTGGGTCTCCTAAACGTTTTGAACCTTCATTCATTATGCACTTTACATTCTTTAAATGTCTATCAAGTCACATTCTACATAATTTTAAAGTAAGGGATCATTATTATCATTTCATAAAAATGTTTTTAAATGTTAGATTCACTTTGAAAGGTCAAAGGTAGACATCATCATGAACATTAATTTCATGCGGGATCTCTTGGACTATTTACGTATTTCCCACATTGACATTTTGTGAACTCTCTCTTCCTCTCTCTCCTCTCTTTTCCTCCCTTCCTCTTTTCCTTTCTTGTTTACGTTTGCATTTCGTGTCAAGGAAGGTGACAATCCATTTGAAATTGATTATAAGAAGTGGTTATGGTAGATCAATTTGTAATGTTTCAACCGTTCCCATCATTTTTGGACGGTGCCCATTTTCCAAAAGTGCCCTTTGGCTTTTGACAATTCCTCACCAAGAAAATACAATACGCCGTCCCTGCCTGGCACGTTGTTGTTAAACACACTGGTATCGGTCTCTCGATGTTTGTCACTAAAGGTAATCAGCTAGTCATGGGGAACACCCAAAATGTTTTCAAACATACCCCCCCCCCCCATCCCCTCGTCAGATATCTGTAACCTGTGAATCCCGCTCTGATATTCTGGCTCCGTATCTGATTCCAGTCTCAAACGCAAACCAAACTACCGGCTTTTATAAAATGTAGGCAACATTTAATTAGTTTTTTTTAAAAACTTGTTGTTTATTAATCCTGTTGTCTTCTTACATATTCCCATCTATCTCTTTTATCTCTCAACCTATTTTTTGATGACCGTATTGAAATAAAATAAACAAACATGCAAGCTTTATAGACGAACTTTGATAGTTCTATTCTATATAAGAGTAATACCACGTGTGAGATTTGCGGATCATCAAGAGCCAGAAATATATCAATTAATTCGTACTTATGTCTCTGTCACTGCATCTATCTGTCTGTCTGTCCGCCCGTCTGTTAGTTTGTCTTCGTGTCTACATGTTTTTCTGTCTGTCTCTCTCTTTCTCATCCATGTCTCTCTTTTTGTCTATGTCTGTCTCTCTACTTCTCCTTTTTTTTCTCCCTCTCTCTCTCTCCTTCTCTCTTTCTCTCTCTTCTGTCGTTTATCACTTTGTTCTTGTTTTCCCTCCCGTCTTTTCACCCTCTCTCTCTCTCTCTCTCTCTCTCTCTCTCTCTCTCTCTCTTTCTCTCTCTATACTCTAAGGGCGCTACAGAACATACACATCGAACAGCTGTCGCTCAGCACCCCAATAATGTGCAACCAATGCCCTTGAAACAGACCACTAATCAAATTTTCAGGATAGAAATACTTGTCTTACTGCAACGCTTTGAATAAAGAGGAGCCCCCGGCAGAGGAGACTAAATTCCCAAGGTCAAGTTCGTATGTCCTCGAGCAATGTCATCACTTACGTTTTGTTTTTAAAGCCCTTGTAATTCGCCACATTTAACACAGGGGCCTGCATGATGAATACATTTTACTGTATAGTGGAATTTAAGCAAGAAGAGATCTGGTTGTACACCACCATGGTGAGTCAGAGTGATAACTTAGACCAGGGAGGTGATCACCTTCCTGGTTAGACCTGGCAGTGTCGGGTATAAAATTGTAATACATGCAGATATTGATTGATTGGTTTTTATTCGTCCAACTTCCAACATACAACAATACACGAGAATAACAGATCAAAATTTAAGTCAACTTGAACAGGATAGGCCTAACCCATCGGTAACTAGGACAGGGGCCTTGATTTTAGGGGGAGGGGTGGGGCAGGGGCGTCGGGGTCGTTTTGTTGTTGTTGGGTAATTCTGTTGATAATTCGCACGAGTGGCCCTTTGATATATTGAAAGAGAACCGGTGCTTGCATACTAACCACGCCTATAATACTTTACAACATGTATGTTATTCTTATTTGAATTTTTGTACAAAGATGTATATCCAGAGACAAGACACCACATAGATCAAAACTCGCACACGGCAAGAAAGGTATTCTCTATTATACAGTGCGTTCCAGAAAAAAAAGAAACTGAGAATTATCCATGTTTTATCAAAACTTAATCACAATTACAATTAATAAATGACACATATTTGTAAAACTTAGATCCTCTTCTTTCATTTGATGCAACTCGTATGATGCATATTTCACGCATAGGTGATTAAAATGAATTTGAAGAGAGGGTACCAAAAAGTCATTTGGCGGGCTATATCTGAAAATCACATTTGTAGAAAATTCATTTTCTGCCCTTTCATAATTATGACACCTCAATCAGGAAAAATAAGCCAGGAATAACAAAGTTGTCTTTGTCTAAAGTATATGCTTGCATTTCTATACTTTGATTAAACAAATTCGTTTTTACTGGCTGCCTGCCGTATCGTCAAACAGACTTAACTCCGTTTCACTGACAATCAGCCATGCACAAAAAAGACGAAAGACTTATTGAGGGCAGAAAAATAATGAACTTTTTAGAAATTTGATTTTCCTTTGAAATTCAGATACCGACGGCCAAAGGATCATGAAGTGATTATTTTTTCTTCTGGTGTGCTTTCTTGCTTTTTCCCTTTCGAAATGTAGAAATTTGAAATATTCGGGCAAAATATGTCATCCCGCCTCCTTCCCTCTCCTCCCCGCCTCCTGGTGAAATCTTGCCCCTAAAATAGAGATAATTAGTCAATAGATAATTTTAGGAAACAATTCTGCAATTTGAGAGAAAATAATAGATTTTTCAATATAAAAAAGAAAAGGTGACTTCCGGATACAAAATTATAAAAAGGTAGAATTATAAAAGTATAATGTGCTGTGAGTAACAAGTTCAATACTGCCATCTACTGCTACGACTGTTCACATTGCAATTGTAAACAATATACAAAATACACGTACATACATGTATACACCATCTGCATACACTTACTTCCGAACTCTTCATTTCATATCGCCCATGGCCCCGTGCGCGCCCGCGACGTAGGCCTATTTTTCGCAACTTGGTCGTGGTGTTCAGGTTGGAATCGCAATTTCGAGCACTTATCTGTACTCCAAAATCCATGCGAACTTAACACATAATTGTGTCAGTGTGTATGTGACCATCAAAACTATCAGGATTATTACCATGTTGGTGCACCGACACTGAATAGGTCTCTGCATGTGCCTCAATCGGAAAATTTGCGCAAGCACAGCCACAGCAGACGTGAATTGAATGAGGAAGAGAGAAGCCGATAACTCGAACTTGAACCTGATTTTTTGACATGACCATGTGAAATCGGTAAAATTGTGGATTTCGAAGGAACGTTACATTTAGCTCAGCCGCGACATGGATTCCATAGGATCTAAACTTTATGCTGGCAAAAGGCGTCGTCGTCCTGCCAAACGGTAAGAAGTGTGTTTTCGTGAGAATTTAGCACATTTATTTTGGGGCGGTAGTCCGGAAATCGAAGCTTAGCCACGCCAGCGCAGAAGGCGAGTGGCTTGCTCGGAGTTCCGTGGAGTCACCAAGACACGAGGGGGGTATTGTAATGTCTGTGAATATAGACTCGATAGGTGCATGTATATGCATGCACTGATCATGATCAAGTGTGAAATCGCTATCTTACAAAACTGAGATTTCACATGATCCATCAGTTGGATTGAAATTTTGAATAATGATGGACTAGATCTAGACCCTACACGGTACACCATTGTTGTTATTATTAATGTGCAATTATTGGTTGATTATGATTAATTATTGTATGTTTTTATTATGTTAATAATAATAATAATTATCATTAAAGATAAACTTTAGTACTGGTAATGCGATTGCATTGTGAAAGAAAAGGTGTGGAAAGGATCAGAAACAGTTGATCATGTAGCATGTAAGTATTGGTGTGCACTGCAAGGTTCTGGAGTCATCAAAATCATAATAAATTTGACCGAGTCTTGGTAAAGTAACAAGCACATACACAGAAAGCTATGTATGGGACAACACGCATGGTGTCGGGGTTGGTACTACCTTGATTCCTTGTCTTTCTATGCTCATTACTCAGCCAGTATACATTTTCTTCCAAAATTGTTTGGCACATGTCATTTATTTGTAATCTTGAACATTCAGTGTAAGTTTCGTTTGATTCTGTGAGAAATAATTTTCTTTTTTTTACCAGTACTCAACCTTCTCTTTAATTGTATTATTATGAATATTATTATTTATTGATATTATATCATTATTATTATTATTAATATTATTTTAATTATTATTATTACAATAATAATGATAATTAATAGTAGATCTAGACGTAATGATAATCACAATAAAGATAATGATGATAATAATATTAAGTTATCAAGAATGATAATGATATCCAATATGGTAATGATAATAATTATAGTGTTTATAATAGTAATAATAACAGTTATAACAATAATAATAATATTGAGAATAATAATGATATTATTATGTTATTATTATCTACTACTAATAATAATGATAATTTGTATATTAATAATACATGTAATAATGATAACGATAGGCTATCAATTACAATAATAATAATAATATTGATAATATAATAATAATAATAATTATTAGTATCTACATGTGTATGTACATGTACATGTACAGTATACGTATCAGTAGTAATGATAGTCACAATAAAGATAATACTAATAATAATAATAGTAATAAGTTATCCATAATGATAATGATAATGATAATGATAATGATAATAATGATAATAATGATCATGAATATACATGTAAAAGTAATGTAGTAATGATAATAACATTGAGAAAAAATATTGATGATATTATTATATGTAATTATTGTCTACCAATAATATTCATCATTTTTATAATAATAATAATAATCATGATAATAATAATATTAATAACAATAATGATAATAATATTGATGATAATATATTTATAATAATAATAATTATTATTATCATAATAAATATTAATAGTAGACATACAGCTATGTTAATCACAACAAAGATGATAATAATGATATTAATATTAGTTATCAATCAATAATCATTAATGATAATGATAATAATAGTAATAATAATAGTAATAACATTAATAATAGTGAGAATAATAATGTATTGTATGTAATTGGTATTGTATGTAATTAGTATTGTATGTAATTAGTATTGTATGTAATTAGTATTGTATGTAAGTATTGTATGTAATAATGTATTGTACATGTACATGTATGTAATTAGTGATGTGTTATCAACAATATAATAATTAAAGACAATAACGACCTCCTTTAAAAGTGCTAGAATAATGCTTTATTTTATAAGGAAGATTTGTACAATATTAAAAGAAGAATAGAAATTGTCTCAAATGTTTATTATGTGAAGAATTTCTCCTAATGAAATGTCTAGCCTTAATGCAATGTACATGTATCTGTAAGTATAGGCAAAGTCTCAACAAACCATTGATAACATATATTGTGTAAATGTATGTATTTAATAGTCACTTGTATAATTCATTGTCTCTAAACATGATGTACAGAATATTTGCACAAAAAACAATGACAATCTCTATATTTCTTCAATGAAATAGTACACTTGAACTGTATACATGTACATGTAGAACTTCTTCACTTGGCTTCAGTAAATATGTCCTTTCTAAGGACCACCAAAAAATGGAACAGCCTTCAACAGTCTACCATCAACCAAACCGGTCCTCTCTCTCTTTCAAATCTGCTGTCCTTTTAGAAGTTTCCACTTCTAACTAATCATCCACCCACCACCACCTCCAGCTACAACTTCATTTTTAGAGTATTTAAGAGGATTACGAACCAAGTGCCAAGAAGATGTGCTTATTGTGCTGTGCCATTAAATTGCACTGGAATTTTTATATTGTTGTTGGTTAGTGTTTTTATGGCACTCAGTTAATTTCGACCATTATCACCAACAATTTTATTTAAAAAAAAAAAATCATACATGTACACCTGTATGAAATAATACAATATTAGAAATAAAAAAGTACTCAACAAAACCTAAATGCTCTCAAGAACAGCATGATACAGATGGAAAAGACTTATTTTCCATATGATATACCTTTCATAGGTTGCACTTCTAATGATTTTGACGAGACAAAACATTATATAACATACCGTACACTTAAACCTTTGTGGTTATTCAATTACTTTCAACTGTTAAAAACAGCGCACCTGAATTCTTTTGTTGATCTGACTATCATATGTTTTCATGGTTCAATACACAGTTTGTACTTCCCTGAGTAAACATTCTGAGAAATTGGAGACAAAGCAGCAGGGGCTGATTATCCGTCCCTCTGGTTGGGTGCTCGACCTGATCGTAAATGTATTCATAAAACACCCTTCTGTTCTATAGCTGCTCTTTTTTTCACTAGAGCTACACAGCAACATGTGTAACTACACAACTTTTACTCTCATCTTGTTTTGATGAATCAGATAAGGGTTATAAAATCACAAAGTGGAAGATATTACCAATTTGAAAAGAAATCTCCATACAGTACATACATGTACATGTACATGTTCAAGTACATTTGGTAAACTTATAAAATTAAAATGATATCAATATTAATATTTATACTATCATAAATACCCTAATAATAATTATTATTATTATTATTGTTATTTCTATTATCATTTTTAAAAATTGTTACTACACATGCACATGTATTTCTATCATTATTAATATAATCATGAATATATTATTATTATTCCTATTTTTATTATTATTATTATTAATTTACTACTGTCATTACTATCATTATTTCTACTATTGTTATCATTGTCACTATATTACTATCATTACTATTTTTAATTTTATTAGTTTTCATGTAGTTGTTATCCTTCTTAATTAAATCTGTCCCGCAGGAATACGATCCCAGCCAACGGAACGGTGCGTACCAACCCTAGTAAGCGGCATCGTGACCGTCTCAACACAGAGCTCGATCGGTTGGCTAGCCTGTTGCCTTTCGACTCGGACACCGTCACCAAGCTCGACAAGCTCTCTATCCTCAGGCTCAGTGTGAGCTATCTGAGAAACAAGAGCTACTTCCAAGGTAGGTACATTTTTACGTTAATCCTGCTCGAGAAATTTCAATTTTTGTATTAAAGTGACTACGTAACATTGCCTAAGATTCTGAAACAAAATCCTGGATTTAGCTCATGCTGCAATCGTAATTATAAACCTTTAGGTCAGTCAGGAATCCCATGACTTTTACAAGCCGATCGCCAGGCTGATTACCAAGATATTTATGATTGGTAATCAAAATTTCATTTTTTTTTTCATAATGTTTTTTTAAACACTACTGTAGTGTTAAAAAAAACGTTAGGAAAACAAAAAGTGAAATTACTACAGTCTATTGGGGGAAAGGAGTATGGTAAAACCGGTCACACAAAGAATTTTACTTTTTTGAGGCACTTCATTATCATTTTGAAGCAGGGAAAAAATTAATATTTATTTATCGGGGGGCTACTTTTCATGAAAATAACATTCTAAAATTTGTTTTGCATTGAACTCTACGCAAATTTACAGGGGCTCTTTTAGGCATTTCGGGGGCTAATTCACCCCGAGCCCTCGTGTATTTTTTTCACTGTTTTGAATCACAATTCTTTTAGGGCTTCAATATTAAACCATATCACAGACACTGATAACACAAAGGGTCATGCATCTCAGATTAATTTTTGTTTTTGATAAGTGAATTTTATTCACTTTAATACTATAATAATAACAATAATAATTATAATAATAATAAAACTGTGCTTATAAATCGCTTTCCACCAAAGTCTCTATTAGCATTATACATGTAAATTTGTTTTGCTTTCTATGATGTTATCTGAGAATACACATGTTATCTGCAACATGTACATGTATACATGTAGCTGTCTCATATTCTCCTGATTCATTCTGCCACGCCAAGATTTAAAGCAGTAGTGAAATATTCATGCATGTTGTCTTTTTGTCAGAATTCTGTTTCCATGGTTTGAAATTGAAAGAAAACAGCATAGCTACATGTACAGTAATCTGTTGAAAGACAAAGCGACATTAATTCTGCGTTAAAGTAAATGAATTAACACCCTTCTGGCTCCAAACAGACAAGTAATATGTATTTCAAATTTTTGTTTTATGTGAGCAAATAAGCTACATTTAAAGTGCTTGTATCTCGTTTCTCACTTACACGAACGAATCGCATACATGTACCTTGGACGCTGTTCATGCAAACGAAGAGAAAATGAAATAAAATAGTATTAATGAGGGAAGGGGGAAACATGAGGACCAAATAGAATTTACCTGAATTCAGTACCTAGTACAAGTTTGCACTGCAGTTGAAAGGAAATAGTAAGGGGTTCAGGCCAAGGGCAGCTCATAAATTATATGTGTCAATACTTTCAGGCGAAAAAGTAAACTCGATGCTGTGTACACTTTCTGGCCCGAGTTTACTCTGTATCTTTGCCGCAGCTGCCGAGAGAAAGAGAGAGAGGGATAAAGAGAGAGAGAGAGAAAGAGAGAGAGAGAAAGAGGGAGGGGGAGAGTTAGTGCATAGAAAAAGTAAAGTAAGTGAAATGTCATCAGATTTTTCAGCATACATTTTTTTCGTCTGCCTGGGAGAAGGGGCGAACGAATGCACGCCAAGCAAACGTACAATACTGTTGACATTATTTAAATAATAGGAATACTCATTTTCAAGATTTGACCCTTCCTTGACTTCAAATTAAAGGCACAATTCAGCCTTTGAAACTAATTGTAAATGTTTTAATAGCAGTTCAAGCAATGGAGAGCAAGTTAAGATTGTAAATATATTCCTACTTACATGTACGTGTAGCTTGTAATATAAAAAGAAATGTAAATTTTATTTTATTGACACGTGTGCCCCTCTAAAGTGTTGGGAGCCCCAATAATCTGCTGGCAAAATTTCGCTTAAATTGTTTTAAAATGTGAAAAGGTTATGTCATTTAAGACATATTTCTGCAAGGATTTCAAAAACAAATGCATTTGAAGTCCAATATTGATGAAAGAATACAAAAATTAGGTTTTCTGCATTCAACAGGAAACCCAAATTATGTATTCTTTTAGCAATATTTGTCTTCAAACACTTTTTTGGGGGGAATTCTTTACAGAAGTGTGTCTTAAATGACATCCACTTTCGCATTATAATACAATTTAAGTGAAATTTTGCCATCAAATTTTTGATGAATTTAGGGGCTCCCAACACTTTAAGAGGGGCTTTAAATGGCCAATCTCATAACCTTTAACACTAGAACCAACAGTAATACTAGCACCTGTACATGTACATACATACCCACAATGTAAACTTTAGGCTGAAATGCGACCCTGAACTTCACCTTATCTCAATAGCAACCCTGCTCCTAACCCAATATATTTGACAAAAGACAGAGAAAAAGTATCTCACTACCTGATCAATGATCAATTAATTATGGGCCCGATGCCAAACTCAGTCAGCCCAACATTGATAGCGAGAAGGGCATTAAGCCTGTGTAAAAGCATACATGTAGAAGTTATAATGCCATTCTGGCTCTCCTTAGATGAGACACATGTACTAAGCGTGTGTAGAACAGTAGAGGTGTTGTGGTCTAGTGGATAAGTCACCCAACTGCAGTTCACAAGGTACGGGTTCAAATCCCAGCAGGGAAAAAAATGCTTACAACCCTGTATTTTGGGGGCTACTTTTCAAGCTTGCTTGCATGAAAATAACACTCTTTAATTTGTTTTGCATGGAACTCTATGCAACTGTTGGGGGGCTCTTTTGGGCATTTTGGGGGCTAATTCGCCCTGAGCGCCCCCATGTATTTTCCCCCCTGAATCCCAGCCCAGCACTAACGTCCTTTGGCAAGATGTTAATCTACATGTACTGTACATTTGCCATTCTCCACCCAGGTGTAAAAATAGGTAATATGCAAAAGTTAGTGTAGTTTTCTCAGCATTTTGAGCGTCTGTTAAATGACGCCTGGCTGGAATGCTCCCCAAGGAATGAAGAGTGTGCATACATTGTGTGTGGGCACGCCTGAATCCAATGACCGGGGTAATAATATATCTTTTAAGTGCTAAAGAGACATCATCAATGTTTTAAGCACTATATAAAAGCGCTATATAAAAGCGCTATATAAAAGCGGAATATAATATTAAGCATCAAGCAAATGACAGGTATCTGTACTTTCAAGTAACCAAGCCCAACACTGGCATGATTCTTTCTGCACGTATAACAAGGACACTTGCAGGTAGTTTATTCTTCAAGGTCCATATTTCGTGATGAAGATGTAATGAGATATCTGTGGGCGAAGATTCATTTCCCTTAAAGGTGATCTTGACTTTGTAATGAAGTGGTGATAAAGAAAATAGGACACGTTATTGACACCACGATATCACATAGGGAAGTCCGACTTATGCACGTATGCCGGGATGATTAAATGTAGCTGGTATTACATGTGGTACACAAAAATGAGAGAAGAAAAAAATTGTGAAATTAAGGAAGAATTAGGGAATTACAAAAATGCTGGGTATCTTCTTGTGACAATGTACACATGTAAAGTCTATGTTGGCGTTAATTAGTTGTAATAAAAGTTTTTTTTTTAAATTTAAGGTGAGATAAACAGATTACAGGGGTATTGAGATTCGAATGATAATGTGAATTTATGAAGTTTTGAGTAGTGAATGGATATTTCAAAAATCGGCATCACTACATATTTAGCTTGTATAAAGCAACTCTCCGTTGTGTTCCATACTTAATTAATGATCTGAAATATGTTTCTGTGAACAATGGAGATATATACATGTATATATATATATGGAGACAATAAGATATTCCAGGGGAAAGATTCAATTCCCTCCCTAGCCAGACATGTACAGTAGGTGATCTTGAGACTGTGAAGTGATGATAACGCACATCGTGTTCGAAACAATAAAATCATACTTGGTTTGTTAGTAGTACTTGTGGCATTGTAGGCGTATGCAGGAAGACGTCTTACCAGGAATGCATTTGTAATCCTTTAAAGCCCCACAGTACTGCTTGTAGCTACTATAGCTTGCTCCCTCTATAGAAAACTTCCCAAATTGGTGCCTGTTGGTCCCCCATGATCCTCTTTTTCTTAAGTCAATTGAGAGCTGATTTGATGAGATAGCCACCTGTCAGTGACCACCCTGGGTGGTCTAATCCCTTCTGGCCAAACTAGTACAGACGAGTTTTAAGGGAACGTCCACCTGATTAGTTGAGTAGAATTTATGTTATCGTACACGTATAGTTTTATTTCCTCTGCCTGCTACAGTTATTCTAGGATATTGTACACAAAGTTGGTTTATTTTAAAGTTACTTCCCCGGACAATTAAAAGCTCATGGATAATTTCTATACAGGTGGTAGATCCAATAATTGTGGGTAATAAATACTGATATCATTTGATGCTGTTTATTCCATCCATGTTAACTATTAAATATGTTGTAAGTTCATGTTTGGAAAATAGTTTCAGCATGCTCCTTGTTCTATAGTAGTAGAATTATATACATTTTTACTAAACATTTATTTTCAAAGTTGGTTATCGCATGCATGTTCATTCATTAGTGCCTTGTTGGGGATTGAACCCACGACCTTTGCATTTCAAGTTGATTGCTTAAACCACTCGACTACGACAATCTACTAAATATATAGGCAGGCTATCGTCTCCCTGACAACGGCTCAAGAGAAGGTGTATTTGACCAATCAATACCGTAGCCTATTCAACATGATATCCATATTTATCCAGACAATTAATCACCTCTATCGCTTGGGCCAGTTTTCATCACTCTTTTTGAATATCCGACCTAAATACAATTACAAGCCAGGCCTCGCTTCAAATTGTAGCCGTGCCCCCATTACCCCTCGCTCCTATAGATTATCATCAGCAGAGATTGCTGGTTTCGTCGCTGGTCGTCCTTGCCTGCTCTAATTCTTGCGCCGTAACTAGGTCAAGTGCAGGCCATGTGTAATTCCATTGTGGCGCGACCATAGAGCATGCTGGGACTGCCATTTCCTCCGATAAGGATGGACGTTGGGTTTACTAAACGATGAAGTTTGCCAGCAGGTCTCTCAAAAATGAGAAAGCATTTGGTACAACACCAACACTTACATTTGTACAGTCTTAGTTTATTTTAATGCTGCTTCAATATCTGGGTTTTAATGTCTATCGATC